TGTTCGGAGGCGGAGAATTTCTACACGGACTCGACAGTTTCGAAATCCGAACGCACATCATCGTGCGTACTGGAAGAGACGACCGTCCACTCGTACCACTGCTTCAAGAGAGTCTACGCCGACATATTACACCGATGGCAACTGATATACAAGAAAACGGAGGTAAGATGTTTTCCTGTTTATTCGCTGTTGTTAACGTCTATTTTTTTAATATAACTAGTCAGGTCATAAGTATTGTCACAGTAAAAACTTTTCTTTTAGAATGCTGGCCACAAAAAAGTTTATTGAATTCGAATTTCGAATTGTTCATGAAAATAAACTGTATACTTTTAGAATTTTACTCATTTTTAAATATGGAGTGGACGCTTAAAGAAGACCGTGTTGCAGTTATTGCGTTGCATCGTTGCGGTTACGCGCCAATTCAAATTTTTAACATACTGAAAATTTTCAATATAACCAAAAGATTCGTTTATCGTACCATCAAACGATACAATGAAGACTCTAGTGTAGATGACAGGTCAAGAAGTGGTCGCCCTCGGTCTGTTAGGACTCCAGCAGTGATAAAAGCTGTGAAGGCGCGAATTCAAAGAAATCCCAAACGTAAGCAGAAACTGTTGGCCCTTCAGATGGGGTTAAGCAGAACCACGGTGAAAAGGGTGTTAAATGAAGACTTAGGGCTTCGGGCATATCGAAGAAAAACAGGACATCGTTTGAATGCTCGTCTAATGGACCTGAGACTGAAGAGATGCCGCGCTTTGTTGAAGCGGTACGCGGGAAAAAAATATCGGGAAATTCTTTTTTCGGATGAAAAAATTTTTACCGTAGAAGAGAGCTACAACAAACAAAATGATAAGGTGTACGCACACAGTAGTGAAGAAGCGAGCAACCGTATTCCGCGTGTCCAACGAGGTCATTTTCCATCCTCGCTCATGGTATGGTTGGGAGTTTCTTATTGGGGCTTAACAGAGGTACATTTTTGTGAGAAAGGTGTAAAAACGAATGCAGTTGTGTATCAAAATACAGTCCTGACGAACCTTGTGGAACCTGTTTCTCATACCATGTTCAATAACAGGCACTGGGTATTCCAACAAGATTCGGCGCCAGCTCATAGAGCGAAGAGCACACAAGACTGGCTGGCGGCGCGTGAAATCGACTTCATCCGGCACGAAGACTGGCCCTCCTCCAGTCCAGATTTGAATCCGTTAGATTACAAGATATGGCAACACTTGGAGGAAAAGGCGTGCTCAAAGCCTCATCCCAATTTGGAGTCACTCAAGACATCCTTGATTAAGGCAGCCGCCGATATTGACATGGACCTCGTTCGTGCTGCGATAGACGACTGGCCGCGCAGATTGAAGGCCTGTATTCAAAATCACGGAGGTCATTTTGAATAAACTTTAGTGTCATAAGAATCTATGTTTTGTTAAGTTCATTTTGGTATATGAATGGTTACATAATGAATAAACTTGTTTCAATTATTTTACATTAAACATGTGACAGAATTTATGACCTGACTAGGTATAATAATAGTTTATATTACACACCTCGTGGAAAGTGGTAGAAATTTTATTTGATTTCGAGACATTTGCTTTGCTGCAGGAATACGTAGAGAACGGTGGTTTTAAGTACTTATCATTTGTTTCGTAATGTTGATATATTAAAAATTCTGAATTAGCTTAAAAAACATGTTACCCAAATTGAGAATCTCTACGTGGAAATCATTCAAAAATGGTTTCCTAATTTTCTTCTAAAACGCTCAAAATTATGACATTAATCAAAATATTGACTATTGATTAAAAAATTATTGACTTTGTTACTGTCGTCATATTCATCTATACTAATATATAAATCTACAGTGGTTTTTACGGATGTTTCGTTATAACTACTGAACCATGCATCCGATTGACTTGAAACTTGGTATCCATGTAGAAAATACATGTACTTAATGGATAGGCTAACATTTATACGAGTGTTGGACTCCCTACACCAGTTGCGGGGCGTTAATGATGAGAATATTTGTGGGGGTGAGAAATAATAATGTGAATTTTAAATGCCCAGTGAAGCGGACGGGTACAGCTAGTATAGTTATAAGATTATTATATCCGAGTTTTGTTTCAATTATTTAAAAATGTTAGAGTGCATAAACGTTGCGGCTTTCGGACAGGTGATGAAACAAGTGAGCGGGCGGCAGCAAACGGGCGAGGTGCGGTACGCGGGCCCCGAGTCGCTGTCGGAGTGTGCGTGGTGCGGCGCGGGACGCAGCGGCGTGCGCTGTGCTGTGTGCGGCCGCGCGGCGCTGCGGTGCGCGGTGTGCGCGCTCGCGGTCCGCGGCCTCGCCTGCGCCTGCGCCTACTGCGGACACGCCGGCCACGCCGCACACATGCTCGCCTGGTGACGCACTCTCTCACATTCTATTACAAACTAAAACTGACGAAATTCCCTCTAACTCTAAATCATTTATTTACCTTGAAACATTTCGCGTAAACACTCGTAAAGAAAGCCTCGCACATGCTCAATGAATTGTTCTACACTCGACACGTGTTTTACTGAAGTATAAGACCCATCCTAACACTAAATGACCGATTTTAGTCTTCTCGTGGACTCACGTTCTTGTATACATTCAGGTTTGCGGAACGCGACACTTGCCCCACGGGTTGCGGATGCAAATGCGTTATGGAAGGAAATTCAGGATGGAAAGGAGTGAAGTACTGAACTATTTACGATTAACATCTTCATAACTTTAAATCCAAGTTAAAATTAAACGCTGTTGAGATTTTGTAATATTTTTTTTCTATCTTATCAAGACTTCAAATTCTTTTATATTTCTGCTAATATCTGTACTTTCTGTAAAGTTAGGATAAAACAAAAAGGTGCTTACTTATATTTATCATATAATAAAATCGAGCGTGCTAAACGTATAATATATTTTCTTCAAAAAGCAATAATATATTTTTAATTAAAAAATTTTTCGGTACCTATTTAAGTTATTTTTAAGTAATCTAATTTCTCATGTGTAATTTTATACAGAGACACGTGCCTGGATAATGTGTCTATGTAATCTAACCGCTCTCGTGTCGTATTTCATAGATTAGAATACGAAAACCTGATCGCAGGAGCACGTACCGTGGACGCAATCAAAGATTCAACATTTAAATCAGTATATTCTTACTTTAATATCATATTAAATATGGGGCGAGATATTAAAACGATCAGCCGGTAATTGACTGCAGAGCAATTTTTGACAAAGTTTTAAATGCTGACGCCAAACAGTACGATCATTGAATTTTATAACAAACTGCTCTCAAATTTAGTTGTACACTAAAATTATTATGTATGTACATACAGAATAAAGACATGTGTATTGTTTATAAAAAAATAACGTTGCGTATATATTTTAAAACATTTAATAAAATTTGTACATATTAAAGCTACTGTATCGTGCATGTTACAGTTTGTTTCAATTATTATTTTTTTAAATTACTATTTTCTAAGCGTTACTTGTTAAGTTAAATTAATGAAGACTGCCGAATTTTATGTACATTCGAATAAAGAAGATTTCGATAAATATTTTCTAGCATTTTATTTAAGTATCTTAAAACAATTGTTTCAAACAAAACATAAGTGTGCACTTTAGTATCGTAAATTTAGTGAATCCTAATTTAATTTGTTTTATTTACCTATTGATTACTCAAATGAGCATAGACATTGATAATTATGATTTGTATTATCTCTTTTATTGCCATTGTCAAGCCGACGGCCAACCTGATGGTGACTGGTTTCCGTCGCTCATGAATATCGACAATGTCATAGGCACACCCAAGCAACTGCGTATAAAGAGAAATTAAATTTACGCCATAGACTTTTTTTTCTACCTAAGCTGATAGCCTTGAGAGGCTATTTCAGCGTAACCTTAACTAGTAGGTGAACTCACGGGGCTCAAACCGGAGTGATGCTAACACTGACCCTAGCAAGAGCAGTGCTTCGCAGAATCTACCACCGGATCGGAAACGCGCCCCATTAAGAAGATCCGGCGAGAAACTTAGTTTGCTAAAGACGTAAGACGAACGGCTGTTCTAAATGATTCTGTAGACATTACAACGTGCCCACGTTGACCTGTTGGTTTTGTATAACGGCTGGTTTCACCGATCAAAAGCTGCGCGCCACATTCCAGATTTACCAAATATAAAGTTACTACTAATAACACATGTATGCGGGTAGTAGGACCTCTTGCGGATAGGTACCACCGCCCTGCCTATTTCTGCCATGAAGCAGTAATGGGTTTCGGTTTGAAGGGTGGGGCAGCCGTTGTAACTGATTATACTGAGACCTTAGAATTTATATCTCAAGGTGTGTGGCGCATTTACGTTGTAGATGTCTATGGGCTCCAGTACCACTTAACACCTGGTGGGCTGTGAGCTCGTCCACCCATCCAAGCAATAAAAAAAATGTATTGAAAACAATTTGATTTTCCTTAGTCAAGCTAATAATTATATCATGCAGTTTCAGGTTTACATTTACGGAGTGAGCAATCTAAAGCGTAGGCAAGTGTAACTAATACGCACCCGCCTGATTGTGTGAATGTATATTTTTTAAATGTATTCTTTAAAGATATCGACATACTTAACTGTTATATTAAACAATTAATCAATGTCTACACTCAATTTGAGAATCCATCGCTTTACGTCAGTCTGTTTAAAGCTTAAATAGGTATACACGCCAACCAATTTATTAATAAACAATGGTTCCATTATCATTTCCTTTTAAGTCTTTAATGAGATCGCATTGATAAAAATACCATTTAATAAAATATTATGCGTTTTCGTTAAATTTAGCCAATTAATTCTTAAAGCGTTTCTGTGCTTATACAGATCGTTGTCTTCCTAAGTACAGATAAAAAAAAAAACTTTCATATGACAAAATGTTTTAAATTTCAGCGATGTTTTACAGCAAACATGTTGAGACCAATTTATATTATACTATACTATACTATAAACAAAAAAAAAACGTGATTTCAAGAAAGATCTAAGATTAACATTGGTAAATAACTACATTACTCAAACTATGTTACTAAAAAAACAGAATCTACAGTAAGGCTACCATCATAGACAGTATACATATCTACAATCAAATAAACCAGGCACAAAAAAAACTTGAGTTTTTAAGCTAACATTATTAAAAACTTTTATGTTATTTTATAAGTAGTTGATGATTCCGATTAAATTATTTCGTAAATAATATACATTCCATGTCATATTTTCAAATTTTGGAACATTTGGAACAACAAAAGAACATTTTATAATTCGTATTCATATCAGCGCAAGTGACGACTTTAAACTTTCGCTAATTTGTGATAATTTTTATATGATAAACACTTCGCGCTCCGTATTGTTCCCAGATACGCCTGGTGTAGCGTCCTGATGTATTTAAAAGACGCGCCAAGTTTGTCGTGGGACATCTACGCTAGATGTTTTTTTAGAACTGCATCCACCATAGACTTACAGTTAGTACCTATACCGCCTAAACATGACGCGTCCATGGTCAAGGACAACGTAATGTGCACACAGAATAAATGTCGACATTGGAAGCATAACGTTTGATTTTCCATTTTGATTGCGTTTTTTACATCAATTATAATTATTCAACAAATATTAAATTTACTTTTAATTTACAAAAATCGAGTGTTCGGTATTCGATATCTAATGTCGATAATTATTACGTAAATCAGTGTTAACCAATTTATCGATATATGAAAAAGAAAAAAGAACAACTCTATCCTATATTACAATATATTTTTTATTTAAATCATTCGTTTAATCGTAAATTGTAGTAAAAGAAAATGACACTACATCTGGGTCCGTTTTTGCCTCTAAGACTTTTATTATCTATGGGTGTACCAACATCATGCGTGACATTTCGGACGTTGAACTCAAAGGCGCGTCGTTCTATTGTAGCAGCTAAAACAATTAAACATCGATTAAAACATCATAAACTACCATCACATAAAAAACTCATAACATACTGTAATATATTTGTGCAACACTATAAAACACTTTAAAACAACCGGCACATGACAAGAAGCTCTTCAAAATAGAATTGCAGGAGTTACTGCTATTCTGACTTAATAATACCGTTGCGTAACTTATTACGAATATCCCTCTGTCTATAGCAGCCAAATTGTGTCATAATTGTGTGATAAATAAATAAAAACGAATTAATGATACACTAAATGAAGACTATAAAATTATATTTTCAATGATCTACCTTTTTTACTTTACATCCACAAATACCACGCACGCATATGCGCATGCGAAAAAAGTTTTTTGTTGGGCAATAAAACGGTAAATAACACATTTAAAAAATAAATAAGTCCTTAGGTTGTGCAGTTCTGTTTTATAAAGTCTTATATAGATGAACAGATTACTATGATCAATAGATACTATACTTATTAAGCACTGTCGTTAAATACAATAGGTACTCGAAGTTTCAACAATCACGTCTAATCAGTGGAGTAAATACGATGAATGTTAGTTTATTTGCCGCATACCTCTCAAGTAGCCTCCGCTTTAGTTCAGGCGGGTAAGTAACGTATATGTAATGGTCGTCATGGTCGGGATCATCCAGCATGCCGTCTTCTGTTCCCATCCGCTCCCCCCGAGTCGGCGACGAATGCGTCGTCATAGAAACGGAGGCGCTTCCCGCCACACTACCCTCCTCGGAACTATCAAAATACATGATTCTAGGAGTTTCTAGGATAAAGTTTTGAGTGCTGATTATGTTTCACGTAACAGTATCTTTTATATGGTCATGAAAATGTGTACTTAATTGTTATAAAATCTATACATATAAATAAAACTGGAGTGTCTGTTTGTAATATTGAAATAACCGCTTTTTACTACATGCATATGAATATATATACGGTACATACACTAAAATAACATTTTTTACAGTTTTTGTCTATCTGTCTGTCTGTTTGTTCCGGCTAATCTCTGGAACGGCTGGACCGATTTTGACGGGACTTTCACTGACAAGTAGCTGATGATATAAGGAGTAACTTAGGGTACCTTTTTAGACTAGCTTCGCCCCGCAGCGTCACTCCCGGTACGACAATAACCGCGGGTAACATCGCAGGACTTAGCTATCAATAATAAAATTTAATGTTTCCGAAGCGAAGCGAGGGCGGGTCGCTAGTTAAATATTTATAAATAAACACCGCACGTGAACATCAGGGGCCAAATCGAAACTTAAATTTCATACCTTCATTGCTTAAAACTGTTGTAGTAACTTACTTAGAGTAAGTAGCACAGGGATGTCATCCCAAGATAGCCACGTATGCTTTGTACAATGACCTGCATAGACGATTATGATTTGGAATTGTCCGTCGACTTTTGCGGACCATAGTATCTAATATCGCGATTAAACAGCCTTAACACAGAAATTATTCGAAGGGAAATAATATAATAGATGAGGTATCCAACAGTAGCAAAAGTTCTGGGAAGTCGTCGATCGCAACAACCTTAATTAATAAAAAAAAAAAGAAATAAATTCAAGAGCGCAATAGATTAAACTTAGAAAGAAATGGTATTTTGACATTCTTACTCGAACACTATCCAGATGATGTAGTAACACATACACAAAGCCAAAGCGAGGCCTGTCGCGAGCGCCAACAGTAGCGGCCAAGGGAACGCTCGAGCCGTTGGCGCGGTGTCCTCCCAGTACCGGTCACAGCTCAAGTACCAACACACTGCACGTTGCATCTCTTCTGCGTTCAAACAATTTACAAATATTTCAGTCCTCTATAAACAAACTATCTAAAAAAAAACATCATACTAAAAAAAATTACTATCTGTGTGAATAAGGTAAATGCGGCCACCAGCCTTGAGATATAACGCTGTAATCTGAATCGTATTGTATAACGTCTTTTTTTTCGGGTCCAGAGCCGAACCTCTTATGATGTCCTTGCGCCTATGGGGCGCGCAGATTATGCGGACCCACCTCGATAAAGCGACACGACACGAGAACCCTTTCATCGTGGCCGCCGGTAACTACATTCCCGATCCTGCGGACAGAATGGAAAGCAGTCGACGTCGCCCCAAACATGTCATTTCGGATCCTCCCGATCCACTAACGGTGCTTTTAGGTACGTCAAGCACTGGTCATCGTTCTCGTCGAACCCGTCGCTAGCGACCAAGGGCTCGACGAGTAAATTAACCCTCAGACACAGCCCACTGAGTTTCTCGCCGGATCTACTCAGTGGGTCGCGTTTCCGATCCGGTGGTAGATTCTGCTAAGCACTGCTCTTGCTAGGGTTCGTGTCAGCAACGTCGTCAGGTTTGAGCCCCGTGAGCTCACCTTCTAGTTAAGGTTACGCTGATATAGCCTCTCAAGGCTATCAGATCAGGTAGGAAAAAAAAAAATGCGGACTGGTCCGCGACTGCAAACCGCGGGCCCAAGGATATTTTTAGGACCCTACCGCATTAAACGACTCCCTTGTTCTCTTACACCCGACGTGCGATCTCCGCCCGGAGAGGAGGTTCCGCAGTTATTTGTTTCAGCCACAAGATTAGTAAAGACAATTTACATTTATGTTGTTCTAACAACTGATTATAAATGAGACGCAATGTGCAATTTGAAGGAAAAAACATTTTCTTACCTTCCAATTCAGTAAACTGATGTTGAGTCAGATTTAATAACAACGTCGCTATACAAGAATGAACTATTTTCTCACATCGTATCTGAAATAAAGAGAAGATCATTGAATATTTTAAAGCGAGTTCATAAAAAAATCTTTCTATTTTTGTCACGAAGCAGAATACATTCCTATTTATAATATATAATACCTACTTACAATATAATAGAAAGCACCCTTCCGCGAGAAGCTGGAATAGTCCTTTAGGCTTCTAACAAATAGGTAGGGAAGAAAAATATAGAAATTTTGATCTCACGACGCCAGATGTGTGGTAATTTTCAAACAGTAAACTTTATGTATGGTATCAAAGTCACATTTTTGCTTAACCTCGTTCATTTAACGATCGATGAACCTAGTACAGCTTAAGTAAAACGGGCAACGAGTCGATATAAAAATGACAAAATGCTTAAATTATAACCTTTAATATTTGAAGTCTCGTGGGATCGCAAGCCGCGCGCTCCGCCTGCAAGTCTGCCAACCGTTTCTGTCTGCTGTCCGGTGGAAGAGAGGACTCTACGGTGTCTGCGTCACATAATTCAGCGGTTTGATTCACATCCGTTTCGCTGTCTTCTGTCTTTTTTTCATCGGATTCTGTGAACATTGTTTTTTTTAAATAATATTTTAGCTTTTTCTAACGGTCTGGATGTAAATATACTGCTTGTGACGACGTCATTTGCGGTTAAAATAAGTGATGACTTAGTATAAATTACATACTAATTTACAATTGATACTTGATTAAATTATTTTTTTTATAGCTTAGATGTGTGGACGAGCTCACAAGCCACCTGGTGTTAAGTGGTTATTGGAGCCCATAAACATCTATAACGTAAATGCGCCACCTACCTTGAGAAATAAGTTCTAAGGTCTCAAATATAGTTACAACGGCTGCCCCACCCTTCAAACCGAAACGCATTACTGCTTCACGGCAGAAATAAGCAAGGTGGTGACACCTACCTGTACGGACTCACAAGAGGTCCTACCACCAGTAAATCGTTTAATTTTAAATCACATCCTGTAGTTATTGTAATATTGTTATTTTTTCAATTCCGACTTGTCTATTGATCAGTAATAAATCAGTAATAAAGTCCTCAATAAATTGAATCTTTAAGTTGTATGTGTATCGTAGATGTTTAAAGTGAGTTATCGTAGGTCAATTGTGCTGTCTTGCCTGGCTCATCGTTTTCAAGGTCAGTCTTGGGGCAATCAGGTACAGGAAGAGGCGTTGAACGAGGGCGATGTCTACGGCGAGGCGCCACCCGCGCCACACTCCGGGTTGCTGCCGGTGCTAAGGCCTTCTTTATGGATTCCACGTCCTGCCACACCTTCAAATAATAAGCAAAATCATACAAACAAATGCTAAACCAATCTAAAATCCACATTAAAAATAGAATCTTGGTCAGATTTTGTATCTGTGCGTTTAGGCCTTCTTTGCTTTTTATTTGATTTCCATTGAGGACTGAACGATCTCTTTGGTATTAAGTAGTACCAGAGGCCCATAGACCTTCACAAACTTTGGGACATGTCATCGAAGCATATCTCAATCTTATAGCATAGGGGCTAACCCAGAAATAGCCTAGCCGTACGAGCTTACATGTTTATACGAAAGCTTACAAACTTTGTAATATTTTTTTTAAAAAAGCGTTTTACATTTAAGTATCGCGTGATTTTTAGATTATATAGCCGCTTTTATTTGTACGTGTTGTATACCTACCGGAAATATTATGCTTGCTACGACGACTTTATGTCATTATTATGCCATTGACCGTTGACATTATTACAATTAAAAACGAAGTTATTATTTTAAGACACGTAAGTAATCACGAGTACACTTTTATATCTAAGATGGTTGGGTAATCCAACTCATTATTTCTGTAATTAATTTATAGTTCTAAACTAACATTTAATATATGCGCATTAAAGCAAAGTATTTTTGCAAAAGAAAAAAACCTTATTTCAGATTAATTTTATAGAAATTAATCTATATTAATTTTATAGAAATTAATCTATATTAATTTTATAGAAATTAATCTATATTAATTTTATAGAAATTAATCTATGATAACATAAAAATTAATTTACCTCAATGTCGGTGCCAGGTCCGTCGCCACCGTTTAGTAGTCCGTGTGCGACCAAAACTTGACACCGCAAAATATCACAGTAGTCAGCTAGACAAACTGCGTCTTCTGCCTAAAAACATATTCTATCATGACCAGTGGAATTAATAGCACGTACCTATAAAATAAGTATCTCTTTGGTTACGAATACGACTTATTATTTATTCGTAGCTCTTTGGTAATTATATCTCTCTATACCTTGTTGATCTGATTTTTGTGTCGGTGGTCAAAGTGTGCGTCTAGATGTCGTTCTTCGTAAAAGGATTTTCCACAGAAAGCGCACGTCCATTGCGATGGTCGGTGTTGCATCTTGGCTGCGTGCTGAGGCGCGAATATGTCTCGCGCGGGGTGGAATGGACATTCTAATGGTAGTTTTACCTGGAAATTTACAAGAAACACTTAATTAAATTTAGAACTTAAAAATGAAACATAGGTTTGGTTAAGATGATACTACGAGTAAGTGTAGAACGCTTCCATACAGTAGGTATATATGTATATTCGTTGGTAATGTAACAAAAGTTATAAGATCATCCGGTTCGATTGTTCGCACTTAAAGCAAACCTCATACACATAAGCGTAGATACTTTTGACAAATCCGTGTGTTTCATATATTTTTCTATGGCTTACTTGGGCTGAGCTCACCAGTGCCTAGCATATTGTTCAAATATTGAAATGTTTGCTAATAAATTTGAGCTGTTACACACAATAACACTGGAAAGCTAACGCGTTACATTTTTTTTTTATCGTACTACAAATAAGACTTCTGTTTCTTCCTTTAACATTTAAAAACAATGCTTTGCGGTATAAACCTCAAATCTCTAACCTTGGAAGCATACTCATCAGAAAAACTTCTAAAGTGAAGTTATAATATATAAACGATCAACTAGCGTTGCGTAAATCTAGGAAGTCCGGGAATTGTACCAGGACCCCATGGTACAGAAGTCAGTCTTATAAGAGGATGATAAAGCAAATTGTTACTATCTTAAATCATAAAGTCACCTGGAATCTCTCCAAGACGGGAAGCCATTTGTTCTGTATGACTTTTCTTACGATTTTGGAGTTGTCACGAGAGCAGCTGATCTTGAACACTGAAGGCCCCGGCCAAGGTATTAGGGTCAGGAACAAAAGTGCCAGGACCTAAAAATGGATAATGGTACAATGTTTTTTTTAGATATTTTGATATGAACTATCCCAATATAGGTACGAGTGTGCTCATATACATTTAATTAAAAACTCATCTGTTATTATAAACTACTATTGTCGCCAAGAAAATATTGGCTATTAGCTGAAAATATATAATACATAGCTTCTAATATTCTGTATATGTTTAATTGTAGAAAAATAATAAAAATAACGTCTAATGTAATTAGCTACTCTAAGATCGTTAGGTTAGACTTCTGTTATTCGATTATCGATTTTTGGAAGGTCCATAACCTATGAAATATAAGATTGTAGCTCACCTCGAGAGATAACGAAGTGGTCGTCATTCATATCTCTTGTACGGCAATATTCAGTAAAAACAATTTATATTATTTTAGGAAAATAACAGTTGGTAACGTGCAAATGTGTTACGCCGAGGGCTTTCTTCGACGAGACCGGATATGGCGCATGCGTAAAACTCACCTACATCCCCTCGCATTAAGCTTGTAAATTATTCCCAGGAACATTCGCTGGCCCAAGATATGTCATTTATTGTATTTTATTTGTCACAATATTTGCTTACTGCAGACAACTTTTTTTATAAAACACCAATGGCTTACGCAAATTTGCCTTATATTAGAATTGTTAATACAAAACATTTTTTGTACTTAGTTTTATTGCCTAAGTAAATTAATTAAGTAATTATGTGATACAGTGCAGGATCGAACGTTAAGGCAAACCTTGGAGGCAATTCATTACATAAATGGGTGAACGAGTTCACAGTCCGCTTGGTGTTAAGTGGTTATAGGAGCCCATATACCTACGCGACAAAGCTAACACCACCACTTTGAAATATGAGGTTAGAGCTTCAATTGTATTGCATAATAGAAATCCTGCTCTTCAAACCGAAAAGCTTGATAGCTTCGCAAATATAGGTCGGATGGTGGCATCCCCACCATTAATTACGCAAATGTATTAATTACGCAAATGTTTTGTCGATTTCATTTGTATTAATTACACTAGATTATTCTAGTTATTCGTCGTATAAGCCGACATCAACCCGTTAAGTAGTTACGTCTTTACTTAAAAAAATTAGTACTTGTCTGCGAAATTTTAATACCGGCATACTCGCACCGCTTGAGACAAGAACAGCGAGCGTCTTATCTTTTACGCCACGACGACTTTTAATATACAACTGCGTGAGGGCTCCATGCTGTTTTACTCTGGAGCTGTCTGACTTACCACCACAATCAAACACCCTCATCTCAATATATAATATACTCCCTTGTAAAAAAATACATCAATGTAAGATGGTTTCTAGCCCTGAGAATAAAATCCTCGCTACGCCCACGGGAAGAGTAGGTTTTATTACGGACGGGCTCAGAAGTAGTAATTACTAAAAAGTTAATAAGATCTGCTTCGCAGACTCAAACTCGCGTTACGAATATAATGAGGCATCCACACATCAAACTGCAGACTACAGAATACCGTTCATAATTATTATTTATATATGTATCTCTGGCTCTGGCCCTAGGTGATGATTGGGCACTCTTCTGCTTTTCTTCTCAACAAATCTACAGTTTCATAGCAGAAATAATTTGTTCAAAGCGTGAGGTACAGTTCAGGCTAGCTTACTGGCTCAAATTTAAATTGGTAGGTATAAATTCATCACGCAGTGGTAGATGAGCCTTCCAAAAACTTGATATTAGCACATACTAGTGCCCGTTGACACAACTACGTGACTGGCCAAGTGAAGATCCTAGTGAAAAAAGTGTAGACGTCGGTGTTCCTCATTATAATGGTTTATAGAGAGTCATTTGGAGGATAAATCCAAGTTCCCATCTAAAGTGTTTGGCTCAACAGAGCAAAGCAGTACTTAAAGCCTAGACAACGACTTATGCTTTACAAAGCACAGGTTTGGTCTCGCATATCTGAGCTTCTGAAGTGAGATCTACTGCTTCCATCTCGAAATCAGGGCTCCCAAATTCCAAATGGAAGTACATTTGGTTGCATATAGAAGAGGGCCAAATATTGGATAATCCCGTTCTCACAAATCGTTTGGAACGTCTGGGTCTACGGAAAGACTTCGGTTCTCCGCCTTTTTTGCTATTCTCAGTCGTAGGCAGCAGCTTGGCTATGCCCCTGGCATTGACTGACGTTAATGACCAACAATGACCGTTAACCATCACGTAAGCCATATTCTCGTCTGTATACTTTGACAATAAATAACATGTACCCTAGTCTCCCCTAAATTTACTGAAACAATTTGTGATATCAAACATCAATTGTTTAATAAATCGATTGTGTACTTTTTATAGCCGCCAAACCGGCACAATTTGTGGCGATAAAATTTTGTTGTCCAAACGGTTTCCCACAACATATCGCAGGTCAGTTAGAATATCAATGGTATTTTTTTTATTCGAAATTAGTATTATTTTAGTGTACATTGTGTGTACTAGTGACAAATAAGTAAAAATTTTAAAGGAAAATAATTTATCGTGACATTCTGTAACTGTGACATTTTTTTTGTAAGCTCATGAAACATTTTGCAATCCGAAAGTAAGTTTTAACCAATATTCAAGGACGTTAGATATATCTAGGTGTACTTTTTGTTATCTTCGAGCATGCGCAATAGCTCTACTAAGCCTCTGTTCTAGCTCGTAAGATGAGCATATAATTTTATTGCCGTCTCGTTTTTTTTAGTATTATAATTTAGAGACAAAAGAGTGTTGCTTAATTCACTTTCAAACACTGAGGGATGCTTGTGTCAGGATGCATCTCAGTATGTCCCTTCAATTCTAAGCGCTACGAGTACTACGGCTCTACGCGCACTGACGTGCATTAGTAACAATGAAATTATCGAAAGAACAAATTATTTACAATTTGCAACAATAACTACACCTCGTGTCTGTGTTTTAATAAAATGGTATAAAACTATCGAATCATTTGTGTATTTAGAAATGAAACCTCCTGAAACCACTACCGTTATAGTAAATTTTCCAAAGTTTAGTATTAAATCGTTGGAGCCTTGAAGTATTACAAGTAAGTTTGATTAAAACAAAAACAAAAAGAGCTGCATAAAAATAAATATTTACCTATTACTTTGAACAAATGCCAACCGTTTAATTAATACGTACATAAACTAAAACATGTGAAAGTAAAAGTGGTTGTAATAAATACGTTTTATGAATAATTTTTAGTCATTCGTGTTCACTTAGATAAATTTAACGTTTTTTTTTAATTAATATTACAGTATGACTGCAGCAGCAAAAGGTGGCGGGAGACCGCGAGCTGTGCCGTTGCGCTTCAAATATTTGTTATTGCTCACAACTATCTTCGGTGGCTGCCTGATCCTCGTGACATTCAACTCACGCATAGAGATGTTCATTATGAACACTGACCCGTCCTGGAGTCATCGCTATGAAATAAGAGATTCTGAAGAAAGTTACACAATTAGAACGGAAGGATGCACGATACCAGGTCTCAGGGCGTTTGATGAAAGCATTAAAAAATTCAGTGAGCCCCCAAAAAAATTCGAACGATGTCACAATGCCAATAATTCGCTTCTTAAATCAAACGAGACCCATATATGGATAGTTAAAGAAAATCTTCCTCATTATAAATTATCGATAAACGAAAGCATTACTTGTTGCTACAAATGGTTCTACAGACCTGCCGCTATAGTTGATATAAAATCTGCCGATGTAGATGATCGAGTTCAATATGGAAAATGCGTTGAATTCGATAATAGCATCGAGGCCATTAATGAATTTGTGAAAGTGAGCTGTAGACACACGTATAAAACAATATATGAACAATTTTTCTTATTTACAAGCAAAAAGCCACTTATAACATCGATTTCAGAAGACTCAATTGAAACGATACAAAATCAAAGTGGAGGATACAATGTAATTGTGATGGGTATTGATGCTATATCCAGGTTAAATTTCCACAGGACTATGCCTAAGACGCTGGCGTATCTCAAAAAGAAGGGAGGATTGGAGTTCCTTGGCTATAATAAAGTTGGTGACAACACATTTCCAAATTTAATACCTATGCTGTTGGGTATCAAAGATACAGAATTAAAAAAAACGTGTTGGCCGAACACAAAATCTACCTTTGATAATTGTCCATTTATTTGGGACTGGTATAAAGATGCTGGGTACTACACTGCATTTGGTGAAGACAGTGCCAGACTAGGAACATTTAACTACGAAAAACTCGGGTTTGCGGCTTCTCCCACGGATTATTACATTCACACATTCATGTACGAGGCCGAAATTCACGTGGGAAACAAAAAGGATTTTAACGCTTTCATTTGCATGGGTGATAAATACTTTTATAAGGTTCTTCTAGACTATATAGAAAGTTTAACTCGCACATTGAAAAACGATAAGCTATTCGGGTTTTTTTGGGAAGTCACAATGAGCCACGACTATTTAAATTATCCTATGTTGATGGATGACGATTACGAACAATTTCTGAAACATCTCGATGACAGTAATTACTTAGATGACACGATTTTAATTTTACTTAGTGATCATGGAATTAGATGGGGTGAAATAAGATATACAAAACAAGGTAGATTAGAAGAAAGACTACCCTTGTTCCAAATATTAATACCACGTTCATTTCAAGATAACTTTCCCCTGGCATATGAAAATATTAAAAATAACAGAAAACGTCTCACTACGCCATTTGATTTACATGCAACACTTTCCGATTTGACGAATTTAAATTTCATAAAAGACGAACAAATTACTTTGCGAAGCAAAGAAAATTACGGCTCCGATAGAAGTATAAGTCTATTTTTACCAATTCCAAATAATCGAACATGTAATACAGCTGCTATTGATGATCATTGGTGCACATGTCATAAGAGTAATAGGATCTCAATCAATAACAAAGACGTGTACGAGCCCGCCTTCGAACTTGTCAGAAATTTAAATTTGTTATTACAAGATCATTCCCAATGTGTCAAATTGAAGCTTTCGGAAATTCTTGAAGCCACGGAAATGGATGCAGGTGTCCCCGAAGTAGGTGAAGTCGGCTGGCAAGAGATTATGCTGGTGGTACGAACTACCCCCGGAGGAGGAGTCTTTGAAGCAACCCTTCGACGTAACAGTAAACAGGAGTGGTCTCTCGCCGGTACTGTCAGTCGACTTAACCTATACGGAGATCAAAGCCGTTGTGTTCATCATTATCAGTTAAAATTATATTGTTTCTGTGTCTAATTATGATTTAAAGATAAATAAACCAAACAAAAACTGTGATATGATATGGAAGATGATAAGATAAGGAAAGAGATACCTAATCTAATATGGCTGACAGGATCGAAACAATAAAATATCTTAAATCTCTTACTATAAAATCTTAAATTATCAAAATATAATTTTCGTTACATAGTTGTAAGTTGGATAAGTGTTCTTTTTTATAAATTACATTTACATATGCTCAAATTTTAATTATCACCAAATAATATGGGCATTTATTTTATAATAATTATAATTAATATTTTTCGGTATGCGGTGTTTACTTATATGTCGAATAAAAGTAATTACACGATTTATATGTATAAGATCAAAGTGGGGACGTCCAAGAAATAAGTCAGTCGGCTCCTCCCATTTAGTTTTAATGACATACTATTTAACTAAATATAGACCATATAAGTCGCTGCTTATGCATTTAGGCTGGTAACAATAATTAATATCTCCTATTGTTTTAAACTCGAACATGAATAACATATCCTTCTTCATCTCTATCGTACTGAGGTTTATCTGAGTATTACCTACTTTGCAACATCAGACGGATTTTTATATCTAAGTTACCTACTTTACAACTTTAGACGTATTTTAATTAGAACTATGGTATCCCAAACATATCTATTAAAAAGTCTCTCGTCATTCATTTCATTAATCGTCATTCGGTTTCTCGTCATTTATTTTCGTTATTAAATAATTTGTGTACAATTAAGACACACTGTTTTTTTCTAATTTTCTAACACAGAAAACTGAGTTAAAAAATGATTAAAAATTAGTAGGAATCACTGGAAACATTGCAAGAAATTTTCGCAAACAACAAATGACAGCAGCTGCTGTGTAAACTTAGCACTAACCAATATAAATAATGAATGTAAGAGTATAAGAGCATTGGAAGGATTCCCAAAAACTTATATCTATAAAAATATGCCAAATTTTATAAAAGTATGTTTAGTCTAGTTTTAGTGTGTAAGTTTCTAACAAAAAAATGGGTATTTCAACATTTCGAAGATTGACATATCGCAACGAAACAAAGCTAGCAATTAATTTACCTAATTGGTAGTTTCTTTTAGTTACACTGTAAATACGTTATCAAAGGTATTTTAATAGCGTAAAATTACAGTTTCTAATCTAAAGACTTCTCGATATTTATTCATATAATTAGTAACACTTTAAATACCTACTCGTATATATATTTTTGTTGTTGTTATATTATTTTGACTGATGCATAAAACCTAATGTCAAGTTCCAAAATAGAACTAATAGTTCAACTACATAATATAATGAATATTGACGTGATTAATAATATTAATTTGTACATGGCACGTAACAATAAATATAACAACATTTCTAGAATTTTTAATCCGAGAAAGTATATATTGAGTTATAAATAAATAAAATATTATTTACCTACAAAACGTTTTTCATTTATTTTGATAAGTTTTACTAAGTATGTATAGTTTCTGTTCTGTTTATTGCGTATCCATCTGGCGCTAAGTGATTACCGAAGCCCATAGACATCCACAACGTAAATTTCACCACCTACATTGAGACATGAAGTCTAAAGCCTGAATTCTATAGTATAATGGCTTGAAATCAGAAGTCATTTTTGCCTCACGGCAAAAATTGGCAGGCAGCATAGAACCGTCTGGACTCACAAGATACCCTGGCACTAGTCAAAGGCGTTTACTACTCAGCAATACAGGAGTCTACTAATCAGCACATGTAGTGCCCTTATGCAATGATTATTATAACAGTCTCTAATAAGCGCACAGTCAAAATGTAATAGGTTTTTTTATTGCCTTTGTAGGCAGACGAGCGTACGGCCCACCTGATGGTAAATCGTTACCGTCGCCCATGGACTTCAGCAATGCCAGGAGCAGAGCCAAGCCGCTGCCTACCGCAGCAAATGAAGTTCATTGAAAGAGCTCATATTCTAACCAGTATATCAACAGGACAAAAAAGAGAAGAAATGAATTGTTAGTTCGATTTGCTATTTAAGCGTCGTTTTTTTTTAAAATTTAAGCATTGTTATTATTATTTATACACATATCATTATTAAACTTTAGTTTGAATGGTAGAGTGATCGTTACCGTGTCTCAAGGCGGATGGGAGTATTAGCCGCTTTATACAGGTAAGTCGAAACTTCGCAGTCTTATCTAAATTTAAAAAAAAACCGTGCTTGCTTGTATGTAGTTATTACTTCCTTTTCATTTCATAACACACTATTCACGAAACACCAAACATGGTAACTAACTGTATAACATGCAATCGTTAAACGACTTGAACAACGACATGAATTCAAACATTATAATTGTATTATTCTGGGTAAATCAATTTATGTCTTTGAGTAACACAGAAGTACTAACTATTTCGACTAAAGGTTGTACGATACCTTCTTTTGCTAATAACGAGAAAACCATTATAGCTTTGAATGAATCTAAGATTAATTTTAGTTGCCCGAGTTTTCGTCGATTGATCGATGCCAACAAAACGCACATCTGGGTTATTAAAGACGCCTTTGAAGAATTTAATATTTGGAATGAAAATAGTTTTTACTGTTGCTACAGAAGCTTTTCTGCTATAAACAACATATCTAATATCGTATACAAAGACTGTAGGCAATTTTCAAAAATCATTAAGGCGGAAGATGACTTCGTACGAATACAATGTTATTATGAAGACGACAGAGTATTCGAAGATTTTTTTTTATTCCACATTGAAGATGCAACCAAACAACATGCGCTGATTGACAAAAACCTGTTCAACGTGATAATTATTGGTTTAGAAAGTGTGTCGAGAATGAATTTTCATCGCACAATGAGATTAACATCGAAATATTTAGAAGACCACGGAGCCGTAGAATTCTTTGGTTACAACAAAGTGGGTGATAATTCTTTTCCTAATTTATTTCCCGTTTTGACAGGAAAATCTTTTAAGTACCTTAAAAGAAAACTAAGAAATGAATTTGAACAATGGAATTTTATTTGGGATGATTATAAAAAAGCAGGATTTAATACTGCAATGGGGTCAGACAGTATCGCTGGTTTACTCGGGTCTTACGAGTACAATTGGGAAAAAATTCCAACAGACAACTATTTACAACCATTTATGTTCGAAGCGAGGCATATGTTCCATGACAAACAGTACAACTACCACAAGTGCCTAGGTGATAAATTACTTTACAAGATACTTCTGGATTACATCAGTGATATAACTATTAAGCTAAAATCAGTAAGATTATTTGGTTTGTTTTGGGAAGAATCTATTAGTCATGACGATCTCAAATTACCTCATATTATGGATGAAGATTACCTAAATCTTATGAAAAAAATTGAATTCATCGGTAGTTTACGTAATACTGTGATCATTTTCTTCAGTGATCATGGAAAAAGATGGGGAAAGTTTGTTGAAACAAAACAAGGCCGTTTAGAAGAACGTCTACCACTTCTTACTATTATGCTACCTGAAACTTTTAAACGACGTTACACGTTAGCCTTCAAAAACTTGCAACAGAATAGTCGTGGCCTAACAACTCCGTTTGATTTCCACGAAACCCTGTTGGACCTTTTGAACATAACTAAATTAGAAAACCATGTTATTCGTGAAAGAATGAGTGTTTCAAATCAAAATGACAAAGTATCTAGTTTATTTTTACCTATAAGTTCTAGAAGAACATGTAAGGATGTAGGCATACTGCAACACTGGTGTTCTTGCTACAACGGCAGGAGTTTACGGACAGATTCAAAAGACAGTATACTTGCTGGCCAATATATGATTTCACATATAAATAATTTACTGAAAAGCTATCACCAGTGTAAAAAATTAAGATTGAAAAAAATCTTAAGTGCTAATGTAGAAAAACATACGAACGAAGAAATTTTTAGGGTAATCGTGAAAAGTTCGCCTGGATCTGGAATATTTGAGAGCACTATGTACAGAGTCCAACAACAGTGGATAATTTCAGATATAATTACACGACTTAGTCTTTATCGAAATGAAAGCTCTTGTGTTAATAACGAAATAATAAAAATGTATTGCTTATGTAAATAGAATGAGTATTGTAAATTAAATTTTACCTATACTTAGGTGGATACTTTTCGGCCTAGCGTCGAATTCCCACACGAGATCTCTACGAAGAGAAGGTGCATGAAGATGTGTGGGACTGCCGTATCCACCCACTAAACAATTACCCTGGACTCTTGCCCAAGCGCCGAGACGTGCTTGGGAGAGGTGAGAAGACTGACCGTAGTCAATGCTGAATCCAGACTCACGGTTCCCCCTAAGGACCTAACCGGCGAAATTGTTCGTGAGCAATGACTCTAGTTCGGCCGCTGATGTTCCAGAGTACCCCACTAGATCAAATTGAGGCTCCTCCTACAACTACGGTTCATTCCGGATTAACGGATTAACATAGACAGAAAAGAGCTTCGTACATTACTGGACCATGATACATACATTACTGTACCATCTGGCTATGGAATGAGCTCCCTTCCACGATGTTTCCCGAGCGCTATGACATGTCCTTCTTCAAACGAGGTTTGTGGAGAGTATTAAGCGGTAGGCAGTGGCTTGGCTCTGCCCCCGGCATTGCTGAAATCCATGGGCCACGGTAACCACTCACCATCAGGTGGGCCGTTTGCTCGTCTGCCTACAAGGGCAATAAAAAAAAACTTTTTTTCACGTAATAAAGTATTTCAAAAGTATTTAAATACCAGTTACATAACGCACGTAAGGTTGTAACTTTTAGGTATTGTTCACTCATTGAAGGCAAAATGGATAATTGAATCCTTTTTTAGTTTTCTCAGTAACATCGACCTCAAATGTAGTTCCCTTTTTCAATTGTTGTTGTGATGGCTAAAATGTGCTAAAATCGTTGGACGTAAAAATCGGTAGTCGAATGACAGTGACGTTGTCACGAATGTCCAATTATAAATTTTTCATTCGGTGAAATTATATTGTTTCTCCAGTTTGAAGTTTGATTTATAACTGAACAAAATGTTCAAATAGTTACTAAGAATTTCATATAATGGCTCTAAATTACAGAATTTTATATAGGAATTGTTATAATATTAGAAACCTAATTAAACCGGTAAAATGGGATATAGGCAAAAATTACCCCATTCGAATTCTTTCAAGTAAAGTTTGTTGCCATCACAATTTTGTGAATAGGCCATTACTGGATTTCCAACAAGTAAGCTTTTCAGCGACGAGACCATGTACTTCAATGAACGATCAAGAGAAACCCAAGCGGGAAGAAGAGAAAAAAGTTGGTTTGATCCAAAGATTTAAAGAAATGTACAGGGATTACTGGTATGTGTTACTTCCAGTACACATGGCGACTTCCGCTGTATGGTTCGGTAGCTGCTATTATACTGTTAGGAGGTGAGAATATGAGAAAATTATCTTATGACATTATTTTTAATATGTTGCAACAATATTATAAGAATGTGTTCATTTTTCAGTGGGGTGGACGTCATTAGTATTTTAGAGTCCCTAGGAGTCACAGAGACACTCTTAAAACCACTGAAAGAATCTGGTGCTGGATATTTTGCACTTGCCTTTGCCTTGTATAAATTGGTGACACCATTGCGGTACACAGTTACAGTCGGTAATTATTTTATGCTTATAACATTCATTTTCACCTGCCCAAGCTAGGTTTACCTTCAGAACTGAGGGTCTTGAAAATGTATATATAAGATAAGAATAAGTGCTACCGAAATCTGATGTCCAAGAAAAATCAATTAGCATTGTAACTAGGACCCTGCAGTAAAGTTAACAAGGCTATTAATAAATAAATTGAAATAATATTTACTAATAATAATAATTTATCACACACATTAGTATTAATGATCAATTTGTCACTGTTATGCTGTTAGAACGTAAAAATCGACAAACATTCCAGATATCTCATAAAGCTAAAGGACTGACAATCTCACAGGACCTGAAGTTAAGATCCTACTGAGGCTCCTTTTAAGCCTTTAAACTGTAATACTATACTTAGGTACAACTTAACCTTAACCTTATAAGAACTTAGTTTTCAATTTTAAATTTTTGTTAATTTTCTTTTTTTATGTGATTTTTTTTACTTTTTTCAGGTGGAACCACTTATGCTATTAAGAGATTAACGGCACTAGGTTGGATTAAACCAGTTCCATCTAAAGAGAGGCTGAAAGAAATGTTACAAGAAAAAAAAGACTTGCTTCAAGAAAAGAAAGATAATCTTCAAGACCGTCTACATGAGAGTAAACAACATTATCAAGCACAAATACAGGAAAAACGTACACATATGATGGATGAAATGAGAAGATATAAAGGAGAAATGCGCGAAATGAAAAACAAAGTTAAAAAGATGTAGGTAATCAAAACAAACAACAGTACATAAAATAAGTTCATAATAACTTTAGTATTGATGTAAATAGTGATACTATTTTGAGCTATGTTATTCATTTTAGTCTTGTGAGACAGTAGATAGGAGTTATTTGTTTGTTGTCTAAACATAATCTTGGACAAAATGTAAATTAAACTGTTATTATATTTTGGATTTATTTATTGTTTTAAAAATATTTAAATATAAAATGTTCCTTAACAAAATTGTTTCATTACAACATACTAAACAATCACAAATAGCTGTCTAAATTCTGATATACACAACAAATTTCTTATAATTAAGTACACAACACATCAGCACACAACTGGAATGTTATATAACACATTTTGAAACTACAATAATTATTAAACATAATCGTTTTCCTCATTACAATAATGCAGTTAGTATATTTTTGAACTGTTAAAATGCTGGTAACAGTTATTCATTTAAAGCATGGTGCTGTTGTGTATTACTTCTTAAAATAGTAAATGCATTTAAATTATTATGACATAAAAAAAGAATATACTGCTGATTTTTTAAACTTTGTAAACATCTTCCCAGTAAATAATCAATAATATTCCAATCTTGAGGTGACAAATGCAATTAATGTTTTTGAAGCAAATCACATTTTTTCTAAGTATTCAATTACATCCTAATTATTCTACTTAAATAAAACTATATTAATGCCCCTACTTTGTCTGGGAATAATAAACAGCAATTAATTTATTGCTGAATTAGTAAATATCCACCATGTTATTTTCAAATATTACACTAAACTAATCTACATATCCACTACTGAAGCATCTAAAGTATTTTTGTAAATTTTGAGCACTAATAAATCTCTTATTAATTTATAAAACTTATAGTACAGTCAATGAGAGTAACTTTGAAGTTTAGTGTAACTTAGTAATTTCCAGACAGATCCATATAGGCCTGCAAAAGGACAATAGAACCAGGAAATTCACGAGTAAGAGTGGTGAATCTACATCAATAGAGTAGATCAAATTACAATCATGAGCTCTTGTTAAATGCTCAATGTTAAAAATGGCTAAATGGCTAAATGTTAAAAAATTACAAAAAAATAAAATCCAGAGGAAACTGAGACTCCAAATGAACTAAAAAAACCGAGTGAGACAGCCGGACAATGAAGCTTACATCCAAACTTTGGAAAACATTTAACAACTTTGGGAAAATGAAATGTGTCTAAACCGAGCATAACATTTTAAAAACATTTGACAGTAATTTGTACATTTATCTCTGAAATAAGATCACCATAACATAAAACCAGATGTTCTAAAAAACTAAGAGACTAATCAAAGTTACTCAAGTTGATATGCCCATGAGGTCCCGGCGATTGCCGGCATATATCCCAACATAAAAAGAACAGCAATTACAGTATTTTATGGCTTTTTACCAAAGCTAATTAATATACTTTTTTTAAATCTGCCTTCTGTTAACTAGCGTCTTCCATTAATTATCCAAGCCTTATTACATTTGAGCTACAATAAATTAAAGCCAAAATATTAAACGAGCCCAACACACTAGTGTTTTCATTAACAAACAAATAAAAAGAATATTATGACACTAGAGTAAATAATTTAGTTATAACTCCATTCACATCTACTGAAACTATGTTTCGTTAAGTTAACTTAGTTTCACAAATTATAAGATCATTTAACCCATGTATTGGTATGAGGCTGGTGATAGATGAGGCGCGGGAGGAAGGCCCGGTCCAGTGGCTGCTCCGATTGTGGCGAGGTGACACGCACGACACATTAATTTACCTGCAATTTTACAACATTTTACAACAATTCATTGATTTTACAACAGTTGAAAAGTCCATTTTGTAACTATGTATAATAATGATGGTACATTATTGTATGTTTTTAATATTATGTATTATTACTTTTTATGACCAAATAAGTAATTTATAACAACTGCAATGTGGTGATTTCCCGGCCTGTCCACCATCAACTGCTCTAGGTTTTTGTGACACCACCTGTCTCTTTTTAGACATTTATTGTCAAAAAGTATCAAGATTGTTTATTAGTACATGACCGTGATGTGCACCCGCTCGGATCGATACAACCATCCAGCCTATTTCTTTCAGTATTTATGGCAGTGGAATGTCGAGTTAGCTTATTTTTAAACGCAAATAGAAACTTTGCTTTAATATCTGAAAGTAGACAGCGACGGCTATGATATCTGGGTTCTCTGGTAACCAAGATGATGATTATTTAGATGGGCCACAACTTCAATTCACCTTATCTACTGATGCTAAGTAAAATAAGAACGTTAATTTATTTTTACACACCTGCTAGAGGATAGCAGCGTTTGTCGGGTTCATCGGTGAGTTGCATGCCGCATACACAACACATATAGCAATCAACGTGGAAATCTCTATCCATAGAGACAACTCTTACTGTCTCGTCTGTACCTTCAACTGGTGTTATGCCTGTAAATTAATATAAACTGTAAGCGTTCAGGATTCAATGGGATAGTGCCATTTCCGCCGCTATTTTATACCTCACGATTTGAAGCGTGGGACAACCTGTATACAATAGATACTTCGACTTAATTTCTAAAGCTGGGTGTCGTTATTCAAGTTTTGATATCTATGAACTTCGGTAACCAGTGAGCTACTTCGCCCATCTAGGCAATAAATAAATAAAGATTTTTGTAAACCAGTAAGACGTTTACATTTTCTTTATAAAAATAGGTAGGATAGGCCCTAAACTGATCCGCTTACTAAAGCAATAATAAAAATTATATTATTATAATATTTCGTGATAGTCACAATCAAAACATCGCTGGGATTAAACATTACATACTTCATTACTTCAAATTAATATGTATTATGTATTCACGACGACGTATTTAACATTCGCATTTCTAATTTTGTTGCATTCACAGCTATTTTATCAGTTCTTATCGGAAATATTGACTTTCCCTAAACTAAATTCCATCGAGTCATGTACTCATGTGTAATATGGACAAAGTATATTCGATAAAGAAATGATAAGAATTTATACTCTTTCATAAATTATTATTCAACAATATTGTTAGTAAATTATCTCTGACAATAATGCGATGACTTTATAAAACATTCAGGAATATTCGAATAGACCGGCATTTGTTTATTCGTCTTTCAAAACTGCTTAAATTAAATGGAAAACAACATTATTACTTAATGGTAACTATATTACTGAAAAGGTAAATTTACCTTTTCCGCAACTTGCACATTTTGGGGCAAACATCCGATGGTAGTCATTGACGCAATAGATCTTATTGTCTACATCCACAGTAAATGGAACACCATCCAGGCACTCATTGCATATGCAGCAGCGGAAGCAGCCGGGATGGTATGATTTACCCATAGCTTGGAGTATCTGGAATTATTATCTTCTATAATAATAATAATAACAAAAGTACAACATGTTGAGCACATTAGCGGAATTAAAATTAAAAAACCGGTTATACCCCGTATGCCTAGTAGGATGATTGACTTTAAAAACGAATAATTAGTACGTAAGTATAAAGCTAAATACTGAAATTAATGAATTCCAGGACTCTAACAATCATTCAGGGCTAAAAAAAATACGACGAAGTCTTAATAATTTCCAGAGAACCTAATCCACCAGCTGTCTCCATTGTGTAATCGCTTACGCCTGTACTTATTAGGAATTAAAATACTTATTCATGACGTAATATGGCTTTTAGAGTTTTAGTCAAACCAAGTTACGTAACCTTAAGTTTCTAGTATCTCCTCTTTAAAAGCCGTATGTTCGTATATCGTACTATCAACAGTTACAACAAACTTCGTCTGTCGAAGACCAGAAAAGATTGGGGCGGCCGCGTGCTGTTAGAACTACAAAAGCTGTTAATGCTGTTAAAGCCACAATTCGTCGAAATCTCATTAGGGAGCAAAAAATCTTATCGCGAGAAATGAAGAATCCCGCTAGGACTCTGTCGCGTATTATAAAACAAGACCAGAAGTTCGGTGCTTATCGTCGATATACAGGACATGCCCTAAATCAATATTTACAATTAAAGAAAGTGGATCGATCAAAACGCCTTCTGTCGCGATATGCAGGTGAAAGGCACAGAAATATCCTCTTTACTGATGAAAAAACTTAAAATTTGAAAAACACTACAATAAGCAAAATGATAATGTGTACGCTCACAGTTCTAAAGAAGCTGCTCAAGTGGTCGGAAAGGTACAACGAGGTCATCATCCTGCGTCAGTGATGGTTTGGTGGGGCGTGTCTTATCAAGGAGTCACAAAACTACATTTTTTGTGAAAAAGGAGAGAACAGTTTACCAAAGTGTATCAAGATACAGTCTTGGATCACGTTATCAAACCTCTCAGCAATGCACTTTTTAAAAATATACCATGGACTTTCAGAGGGCAGGAACTACCCAAACCTGGCTTGAAACCAACGTTCCGGACTTAATAAGAGCTGAAGACTGGCCCTCATCTAGCCTAAACCTCAACCTTTTGAACTTCAAATTATGGTCAGTTTTAGAGGCAATGAATGGCCTGCTCTAATCGACACGGCGACATGAGTATCTTAAAAAATCTATGGAGCAAGCAGTGGCAAAATTTTCCTTGGAAAGAGTGTGTAATTACATAGATTCGTGGTCAAGCAGATTAAAGGCCTGTATAAAAGCCAGAAGTGGCCATTTCAAATATAATCTTTTTTATGTTTTGTTGAGATTTTAAAGCAATAAAAAAAAAAACAAATAAAAAAAAATTGTATGTATAAATTTTCATATTACATTACTTCATTAAAAAAAAAAACTATTTTCATTTGTAACAGAACTTGTGGCTGGACTAGGTACGTACACTCAGATACTGATTGTCAGATTTAACTTCAAAGTTACAAGGAATGAAATGTGGATCAGGTCAGGTCAGGGTCACCCACCACTTGGCTTGGTGCGGCGATAACCATTATAACTAACATTTTTTTATATAATATTGTTATTAGATATTATTCATTACATAATTAAATGAATGATCGTAATTTGCGTAAAAATTAGACATCTCGGCTCACCGATATTTACCAGATGATTGTTGTGATTGGTGATTACCAGAACCCACAGACATCACAACTTGAATGCCACCACCCTTCTTGAGACATGATGTCTAAACCTCAAATGTTTTTATAATGGCTGTTGCACCGCTCAAACCTGAACGCATGATTGCTTCATGGCAGAATTAGGTAGGATAATTACTACCATCACATTAAGACTGCACACTTAGCTACTGCTAAGTCTTAAAGTATGCCTTACCATAATCATACCTTTTGCCCAGTTTTGGTCTCATATTGATATCTTGTACCCATAAGAAAATCCTAGCATGGAGAAAATATTCAGTATAAAATGATTAGCATTTAACATTAATAAGTACTTGGATGACCATGCCACCACCAGCCAATGACATCAAAGTGAGAATAGTATTGTACTTAAATCATTATTTATACTGCCTACCAATATGTTCATAATTTAAATGTTTATAAAGTACTAGCGGCCCGCTCCGGCTCCGCTCGGGTCTTTAACATAAAATTCAAAGATATTTGAAGTAGTTTTTTTTTTTTTAAATAAAAGAACTCTTATTGAGTCATAACTATAATAGTTAGACATACGCTGTTGGGACACTTTTTGTAAATAATAATGTGTTCTACAAAGTCGTAGTGCATTATTTTATTCATCATCAATAGTTTTCGCAGGGCACGCGTTGAAAAGAATATTGTAGGTAATTTTTTTACACCTTGCTTTATATTATTGGAGTAAGTTTATATTATTATATTTTTATATAATTTATAATATTAGTTTATATAATTTATATTATTGGAGTAAGGAGTAAGGATACCTAAATTTTTTCAAGAAATATTATAGCCTATGTCACTCGGGAATAGTTTAGCTTCCAAACAGTGAAAGAATTTTTCAAATCTGTTCAGTAGTTTCAGAGCCTATTCAATACAAACAAACAAACAAATCTTTCCTCTTTATAATATCAGTATAGATAAACAAAAAATATATTTTATTAATTTTAGACTTTTTTTTATTTCAAGATATTGGGCATTGCCTAAGCAAGAAACTAAAACATTCAAAATCAAATTCAAATTACAAATTAATTAATTTAAATAAAAGACGACATTTTTAAAAAACTCACCATTTCCATAATTAAATGACCACATATAGCACACTTTTCAGCTGTTTGCTGGAATCCAGAATACTGAAATACAAGAATAAATTCGTATTTAAAAAGTATTGATGTTTAGGTTTATAAAGATTGATATGGTTGATAATCTTTTTTTACCAAATAATCTTCTTCACAGTACACTTTGCCATGTACATTATAAAAAGCTTTCCCTCTAAGTGCTCTACCACATGAACAGCAGATAAAACAATTAGTGTGGTACAGATTGCCCATAGCTTGACAAGCTTGCCCAGCACCAGTTACACCAGCCCCGCATGTGTGGCATATACCTGTGGAAGTTAAAAGTAAGTGATGTTTAAACGAGTACATTTGGTTTATTACAATAGTAATTATGTAACATGTTGCTCTCACTCTCATTTATCAAATGCCAATTTAAGTTGAGCAATGTTCATATTTCTTTATTGTTTACTGCATAGGTTGCACCTGCACCTCTCACCTGTGTTAAATGGTTACTAGAGCCAATAGTCATCACAATGTGATTTCCCTTGCTGCCAATGACCACCTAGAAATACGAGGTCCAAGTCTCAATAGTATAGTATAGCAGCTGTCCCAGCATTCAAATGCAGCAGAGATTGATTGGATGGTAGTTCCACCATTAAGTGTGCAGTATTCTACAGTATACATACCAAAGTACTCTCCCTCCTCATCCTGTTTCTCCATTTCTTCTTCGAGTTGCCTAGTTAACTCTTCTATTTTTCTCTGGGCCTCAGTTGGACCTGTAGGTCTGGGCGGGGTTATACTATATGGCAGTAAACTCTTGCCTCTACCACCAGATCCTCGGGAACCTCCAGATACTTGAGAAACTGAGCTTGGTGTAGGACTTGGTGCAGGAGATTGTGAGGGTGAACATAAAGAAGTTAAACCGGAAACCAAATTTCGAGAAGTGATAGATTCAGAGTGTCTAGAACTAGCAGATTCAGAGGTTCTAGAACCAATAGATTCAGCAGTTAGAGATGTATTATCTTTATTGGATATAGGTATGGGTGTGGCAGAAGGTCCTCCTGTCATACACACATAATCAGACCCATTATTATCTTCCACTATTTGCATTCTGTTTACAAGTGGTTTGGAATTATACGCTCCATTTGTCACCAAAGGTTTGTCTTTTGGCATATTATTTACAGTAACAGGCTTGGGGTGAAAAAATTTGGGACTAGACACACATGTCTGTACTTCTGTAGCTATATTGGCCTTAGGTCTCTGTGCACTTGGTGCTATTGAAGCATAAATCGCTGTAGATGGAATTGTCACTACTTTGTCATCAAAACTAACTGTGTTTTCACTTTTCAATAAAGCACTAACATCAGTATATTTAGGTGGAGCTGATCTCATGATTGTATAATCACCACTAATATTTTCTTGGTGTTTACTGTAGGCCAAGGCAGGGTGCTTATCTACTTTACCCCTCTCTCCTATTAAATTAACATTGCTCCTGCTAAGTCCAGTGTTAGGGACTTGTGGACCGGGTACTGAACCCTGTTGTATGAATCTGTCATTATTTTGTTGTATTTTATATTCACCTTTCTTATCACTGTCTGCGCTAAGCATATTTTCATATAGTGCCGGAATAGCCTTAGACTTCGTGTTAACAGGCACCTGCGGTTGAGCTTTGCTGTACCGAGTGTCGTAGTATCCGTCAGACACAGGAGGTGGTATACCCTGTTGGTAGAGCTGGTGATAATATGGTGGTTGTGGTGAACGCTGTTCACCGTAATAATCTACGTTTTCGTAAACAGGCGGTGGGTATTGCGCACCAGGGTTCCCAGGAATTTCGTAAAGATCGTCAGTTTGATAACTCAGCGACCTTTGTGATAAGGAATCTATTGATCTCGTAGGGCTTGCAGGGAGAGCAGTCGTATTAATATCCCGTTTATTGATAGATGCAATAGTTTCTACCCGCTTGGGAGTCGCAAATTTGGACGAAGCTATCACATTTGATCGTTCATAAAAACTATAATCTTGACGAGTGTTTTGCTGAGTATTATCGAGTACGAAGCTCTCGATTGCGCCTACCGGACGACTTTTGCCTAAAGGGCTCGGAGCCGAAGTTGTAGCCCCTTGCGCCTGCTCAGTTCCATCCTCGACTTTTTTTGAAATTTTCAAATCTTGAAGACCAAGTACACACCGTTGTTCATCGGTATTGTTTCTCCTTGAAGAATCCATGGTCTGAATTATTAAAATCTATGGTTTTTCTTTATTTAACTACCATTTAAAACACCATGAATCATCTCAAGTCTTCGGTTTCAGGTCTTCGACACAAAACATTAAGTAAAATTAAATATTGTCTAGTCCGTACATAAACAATAAAAACCTAAATGTCGTTGTTTTTAGTCTTTAATTTTAAAGTAATCTGTTTGTAGATGGGATAGTCTACGGCTCTGTAAATTTGGCCCCCCTTTTTTTGATTTTCGGATTTTTTAAATTTTTAATTATTTGTTCGTTGTTTGTTCGTTAATATTCGAATGTAAAAATTGTTTTTTCGTCTTTTGTTTATTTATAATTAATTAAATAAATGATCACCGTTAAGTGGGCCCCTTTTACTAGATCGCTCAGATTAATTTATTTTGATCAATTATCGTTTGTTCGACGACTATTGGTGATTGTTCGATCATAAAAATAATTAAATTCCCAATTATTAATTATTTTATATTAATGTAATACCGAAATACTTCACGAGATGGCGTTACAAAAAATCCCTTCCCAAAACTATAAAACCGTTGTGATTGTCTACTGAATAAATAATATTTATTCGTATAATAAATAATGTAATAAATAATATTTATTCGTAGGTGATTGTTTAAGATGTTATGAATATTTCAGTTTTGATTTCATCAAAATAACTTGAACTTTACTACTGAATTCCGAAAAAAATTCTAATTAAGGCTGAGTTAAGTTCAGCTTTTTATTTAAGCCTCTTACTGTAGTTTTTAAATTACATTTATGCGGACTGATGTTTTTTGAAACATCAATCCGCATAAATCTGAAAGCTTTGGCTTTCAGATTTCAATTTTAAAATCTGAAATAATTAAGAACAGCGTAATCCACCGTTCACATTTGAAACAGAATTTAATTCGGTTTAAATTTGTAAAAGTTGATGTTGATTATTATTACACTAATTAATTGAGCGTTTCATTAGCTTTTAAGCTGAGTGACTATTTATAATATATTTTTATTCTATTGTCTATTTTTGTTAAGTAATAAATGAGCAAAAATAATACTTTACAAAAAGATATGAAATCCGAACAAAAACAGTTTCACTGTAAAAAATTGCGCCAAGTCCACGTTTATAAAACTCATCTCAATAACATTTGCACTTTACAAAAAAAAATAAGACTTCAATAACTTTCATTCTATACAAAAAGATGTGAAATACAAAAAAATACCAAGAAACCATCATAATGTTGAAAAATTAAAAAAAATTTAAAAAAAAAATATTATCGTACTTGGCGCACGTCATTGAGTACCCCAAATTTTCAGGATAAATGAACATCCTTTCAATGTTTAGAAATTTATAAGTCGGTCAACCTATGAAATGCATAAATGTAATAAATTATTATTTCATAATAAGTTTTACAGAAGCTAGGTAAAATCGACATCTCATACGTATGTTATTCGAATTTTTTTAATTTCCCGCTCATCATTTATGATTTGAACTAAACACCCTCTCATGTTCGCTTATACAAACTACTTACGAGTCGATACGTTGGCTTCAAAAAATTTGAAAAATTCTCAAAAATGTTTTTCAATGGGTAGAAAAGTTCCGCGATTTTTGATAGTTTATGCGGGATTTACATTACGAAATTAGTGTCATGCATGTTGAGCTCAGTTTCACGAAAGTAGTTTCGATATATGCGAAAGTAATTTCGTCAAAAATTAGTGTCGCGAAATCCAATGTATCGCAGTAACCATGGCGCCAACAGCATCAAAGCTATATATATATGCTATATTCAATGTAGCTAAAGAAATGCTTATATACCTACAAACTTAAAAAAAGACTATCAAGAAAAAAAAGTTATTAGATTCGAGGATGATCAACAAGAAGGCAATGAAGTTAGTCTCTGAATTAGCAGATGAAGATCCTGAGAGCTATAAAAACTATTATCGAATGAGTGAATATAATTTTGCTTTTTTACTGTAGGTGTTTCGGGTCCCAGAGACACCCTTGTCGCTGATATTCATTAATAAGATCTATATTTTTATCTGTACTCCATCGTTGGTTTGCCATTTTCAACGCTTGAAGCGCGTCCGAACTAACAATACACACGTCCGCACAGCGCAGGCCCTTTCGCGACATTAGTTTCACGTCGCGTCTACACTATGAAATTAGTTGCATGATTTCACCAAAAAATCGCGCAGGGCACGAAACTAATTTCCATGCATGAAATTAATGCATGCATTACGAAAGTATTAAATTACACGTGAAACTGTTGGTAAAACTAATTGTCACGAAATTAATTTCAAGCCACTAATTTCGTAATGTAAATTCGCCTTTATGATTTTTTACCTTTATTTTTATGATTTAGTACCAGCGGCTAGCTCCAGCCGCTTGCACCAGCCGCTTGCACCAGCCGCTTGCACCAGCCGCTTGCACCANTGAGATATCGATCACGGGAACGACACTGAATAAATGCAAGTATTATCATTTTTTCATGCAACGCCGCGTCGTTTTCGGCACTGCACTACACGGCGATTGCAAATCATTTATTACTGATGTTTTAATAAAAATTGTATAAATTGAGGACAGTTCCGAAAATTGCCAACATCCACCTATTTACATTTGAATGTTTCTTTTTTGTAAAGTTTTTTATAGTTATTGTATGAAATGTGTATACATTGGCTGGACGTTGGTCGGCATTCACTTGAATATCTTGCCCTGGTTGAACTTTCTACCGTCTTTGTCGGTTCCGTTCCACGAGAAGTAGTCCTGGACAAGTTTCTTGGTCTCCTCGCTCGAAGGATCCAGTTTCTTCCAGTCGTAGGACTCGTAGTCCACCTGTAAAACGATTATTTCATTAGTTTCTGTAGATTGGTTGTTATCTATACTAATATATAAATCTACAGTGGTTTTTACGGATGTTCCGTTATAACTACTAAACCATGCATCCGATTGACTTGAAACTTGGTATCCATGTAGAAAATACATGTACTTAATGGATAGGATAATATTTATATGAGTGTTGGATTCTCTACAGCAGTTGTGGGGGCGTTAAGATGAGAATCTTTGTGGGGGTGAATATAATAATGTTAATTTTAAATGCCCGGCGATATAAAATCAATACACACAAATGACATTATTTCTAAAGCCATGTCTGTTGAAAAATACTGTAACTGCACTATTGTTGTCTACCCTGCATGCACACACACACCATTAAACATTAGTCAGGGCAGCAATTCTCATCAGATACCCCTCATCATTACACATATTGCACTCAAAATATAAACTTACTAAAAGAGCAATTAACTAAGTTTTGTGAATCAATTTTGTTTTCCTATGAATATTATTAACTTTTTGGCTTTTAGAATGGTAAACTACACTACTAAATGAATTGCTGTTCGTTAGTCTCGTTAAAACTCAAGAACAGCTGGACAGATTTGGCTAATTTTGGTCTTGAATTATTTGTGAAACTCCAGAGAAGGTTTAAAAAGTAGATAAATATGCAAATGCTCGGAATTAAACAAAAATAACAATTTTATTTTTCCTTTGATGTGTCTCCTGTCCATCGGATTCCTTTTGTTGTTTTAAGTTTATACAGAAGTTTAGGTCTTTTATAATATCGGTTCAGGCACTACGAAGTTTGCAGGGTCAGCTAGTACATTATATATATATTGTATCGGTCAGCACGGTTGCTTTTATGCTACTTTGCAACTATGTCATTTGTATACAAACCTGCCAATCAGACGACAGCGGGAACACGAGCTCCTTTCCGCGCCACACCCACACTCCAGAGATGGTGGAATTGTTGTCTTCACCAAACAGGCAGACGGATGCGAAAGCCTGTTTGCGCATTTTGTCTAACCTCTGGAACATACCTGGTGAATAGACGAAAATTATATGTAAAAACATAAAAGTCCACTTGTAAGTTCTGGGCTGCTATGCAATTTCTGCTTGTTTTATCCTCATAGACCCTTGATGATCAATAGAGACATTCTATGATAAAAGAAAACTCGTACAATTTATAAAATTATTCTGAGAGAGGTGTGTCAATGCAATTCAGTAGTACCATCCTGTCTATTCCATAAATGCACTAGTAATGAGCTCATTCACCTGTATAAGTATTAAAAAAAAAAACTTACCCGTAATAAGGTTACAGCTCATGAACACCTTAGCGAGTTCCTCAGGGTATTTGTATTCGGCATACCAAATGGAATAGTTCTCGGGGTCAAACTTCTCCCAGAAGTAAGGAATAGATTTAGCTTCGTCTTCGTTGGAGTAGACACGCTTGAAATCATCCATGTTGAAGGTACTGAAATAAAAATGTTACAAAGTTTGATATCTCTTTTATTAAATGTTAATTGTTCTAAATTACCTTCATTTTTAACACCTTGACTGTATTAATATTTTTAGTGTCGTTCAGAAACTTTGGAAGGGGATTCCCTCCCTCTTAGTCACAACTATTATTTTTATTTCTTTAATTAACTGAATTACAAGACTAAGCAAACATACTAATCAATATGTGAGTTTCATGAACTGACTATTTTAATGGCTAACCGAAACCCTTATTATATACTACGGATTCCTTCTTGAATGCCCAACTAAACCAAAACTTTCATTTAACATTCAAAGAACCACAACTGGGATTTTTTCAAGTACAAAAAATACATAAAAAATCAGATCATGCACATACCAAATATCTTTCAGAAAAAAGGGTCAGTCTGGAAAATGAACCAGAACACATGGTATATAAGCACTTTCACTAAACAATCAAACAACAGGGCTTGCTTGTTTGTGAATTGTTTTTCATTTCAGTGAATAACAGTTATTTACCCTTTAGGCATAGAGTCGAAGGGGTCCTTGGACTCCTTAGGCTTTTCAAGCTCCTCCTCTTCAAGGTCAGGAACAACTTCCTCCTTCTTCTTGGGTTGCTCTTTCTTTTCACACTTCTTATCTTTTTTGCCCTCCTATTAATTCAATTTTGGGAAGTTTTAGTTTAAGCAACATTTTTTTCTATCTATATTCAAAAGTTTATTTTTACTGGTATATACTGCAATAAAATAACAAAACTTCCTTGGCATAGCATTCCTGTAATAAAACTGTATAATCTCAAAACTTACTAATTTTATGGTTATATGGTTATTACTAAGGTTTAGCATGTGATATTTTTAATATTAATCATCTTTGCAACATTTATTTTTTAGCAGTTACATTATCTATATTTTAAAGTAAGATAAAATTATATATTAATTTTGTTAATAGTAGTAACATAGGTAAACAAAAAAAAAAGTTAAACTAACTATGATCTCTTGACAGTATTTTGAGAAAAATACTGGTGACACCAAATGATTCCGCATATTAACTCAATTACGAATATTTTTGGAAATTGTACACTTTTAATGCGGAAAGACGATATGTAACGCTGTTTAGCTGTTCTTATTCGATAATTGCTTTCTTATTACTATTAAAATTTGAACAAACATAATTAGATTATATTTTTTATAAAAAAAACTGTAACATTTACAATACCTTCTTGTTCTGTGCACCAGCTAACTCCTGGTACTTTTTAGGGTCGTATGTAGGAGGAGCCGCACAGAGCGTGAGCGAGCCGACGACGGCCGACACTTGCGGCTGGTGGGCGACGGTCAGGAACCAACGCTGAACGTTTATCAGCGACGAACGGACGCTCGGGTCTAGCACGTGCTGAAGTAAAATAGCTTTTATGGCATTCTATTCAAACCCAATCGGTTGTGACTTGCTTTCTTGAAAAACTGGTGGGAGGACCACGTGAGTCTGTGCGGATAGGTAACACCACCGCGCCTATTTCTGCCGTGAAGCAGTAATGTGTTTTGGGTTGAAGGGTGGGGCAGCCGTTGTGTAGCTATACTTGAGACCTTAGAACTTATATCTCAAGGTGGGTGTCGCATTTACGTTGTCTATAGGCTCAAGTAACCACTTAACACCAGGTGGGCTGTGAGCTCGTCCACCCATCTAAGCAATAAAAAAAAAATACATTATTATTATTAAGGTACTATTTAATTTTCGATAACAATTTGCTTTTTTTAGTCTTATGCTTTTTTATTGTTCTCCTATTCGCTTTACAAACACTTTTATGTATTTAGTAATGTATTGTTTAATTATTCTCTGAAGTATTATTTTATTAACTGTGCTTACTCCAAGTGGTGAAGAAAATCAATTCATCTTAAAAGAAAGTTTTCAGTAGTTCATAGGATAACTTCCTTTTCCTCACCTGGAAAGCATGCAGCAGTGTACTGAAGACAATGACATCGGCAAGTGTGATTCTCTCGGTAACAAGGAAGGTGCGTGTGAGAAGATGTCCGTCCAGTACTTTTAAGGCGGCCAGTAGGTCAGACTTTGCACGTTCAACATTCTGAAATTATTTAATCCTTATATCAGTTGCCAGTAGTTTGTGGCTTATAATTGTAATATTGAGTAGCTTATTAAGCACCATGACAATATAATAAATTAGAGAAAACGTACAAGATCCTATGTTTAATATTACTCAATTTTTACTGGTGGTAGGAAGTCTTGTGAGTCTGCATGGGTAGGTACCACCACCTTGCCTATTTCTGCCCTGAAGCAGTAATGAGTTTCGGTTTGAAAGGCAGGGCAACCGTTGTACAGTTAAAAGTGAGACCTTACAACTCATGTCTCAAGGTGGGTGGCGGCATTTACGTTGTAGATATCTATGGGGTCCGGTAACCACTTAACATCAGGTGGGCCGTGAGCCATATATCTAAGCGAAAAAAAATTTAATTATGAATAATGATAATATTCATATATTTTTATGTAATCACTTATATCAGTAGACTAACACATATTTTAATATCACAAATTCTTCAATTACCTGTTTGTTGAATTGCATGATACCAAGGTAAGGGAAGACCCAAGCGCAGGAAGCAGGCAGTAGTTCGCTGTCAGACCATGATGCCCACTGCCAGACACGGGCTTGGGTAGCCAGATCTCCTCCGCGGAGACTTTCATTGGCAACTGTAAAGTTCCTTTTTTAATTCAAGTTAAATGTTTTATTTTTCTTTTAGCTTCTGATACAACTTGAAGTGTAAGAGCATCATGCATGATTGGGATTATAAAATATTATGCAATAATTAAATATTATTAGTGATTTGTGAGTGTCCCCTATAATTATTTTTAACGGAAATTATGAGTATCGTTTCATCAAGGAAAAGTCATAACTCGTAGATTTTATGAGTTTTTATATCAGATTAAGTAGAAAAACGCTTTCATACTTGCACCCTCGACGAATTATATAGTTAAATCTATTTGAAATAACTTCGCAAGAGGTATTTACAACCTTATCTTTTTTTAAGCTACCTACTTTGGTTTATTAGGTATTCTTCTAGTTAGATAGGTTAGGTTGATTAAAGTTAGTTTTGTAGGTGTATTTGAAAATAAAAAACTCACCGTAGTAAGCGATGGCATTGCTTTCAGTTAGGAGCACCTTTCCATCGGCACTTTCGAATGCAGGCACCTAAAATATACACCGATATTACACGTCACAACACTCAACATATGCCGAAATATTACTATGCACAATACGCCGGTTTAAACTCACTTTTCCGGCAGGAAACTTCTTCAAGAAGTCTTCGGACTTGTTGGTCTCGCCAAATACGAAATTCGGTGCTACTTTCACATCAGTCCCGGAATATTGTGCGGCGATCAACGCTTTATAAGCGCGGAAGTTTTCCGGATAAGTGTAAAGTACCTGAAAAAGTAAATGCGTAATATTATTAACACTTTAATCATCATTGGGTTTTATTAATAAGTTTTCTATCAATGACTGGATTAACAAGATATTTCAAGGTAAATTACACCTACCCCGGCCGCCATGGTTGGAGTTTTCGGAAAGAGAAGGGGGGCCGAGGAAATATTGGCGAGGGAGGATTTTGCCCTTTGACATTGACATTCTGTGACAGCTGAAATAGAAATTAAGTAAAAATTGCATACACACGGTTATCTGTTATTCAATTTTTTAGTTTATTAAAAAAATCCCTTTTTCTTTCTTTAATTAGATTAGAATTAGACTAATATTGGAAATGCCTTGCAACCAAAAGCCTATTTCCAAGTGACTGTACATACTGTAGTTTAGGTCCTTATTTTCGGGCTAATGAAACTACCAATACCACGGGACGTTATATTATTGATTCTCTCTCACGGTCCGTACAGCTAGTCTATACATCACTCGATCAGAAACACCGTATGTTAAAGAATATAGTCTTGTGTAGCTCTTTATCATTGTAACAAAACGCTGAATGAGAATGTCTGTGTCTGGCTGTCTTTGTATCTTTCAAAAGTCTTCAAGCTGACGTGAAGGATTGAAATACATTTATTATGGCCATGTCTTGGGCACAAATTAATATTTGACAACAATTTAATATCGTCTGACCTGCGAAGTTTATTTGTGTGATGCTAGCAGCACGTCTTATGTCATCCATGCTGATCAGTGGCTCATTTTGTGGGTTAGCTTCTTCCTAAGCGAGCAATTAAATGAATGATTATATAGAACAAAGTCAACTTCTGCAATTAGTTTTTGCTAGGAGAATTGAATGATTTATGTTGCTGTGTTCTTCTTTTAAGTGGACTAAAGTAGTTTATCGAATAAAGTATTAGCTAACTTTTCTGTTAAACCTCGTAATATGGCCACATCACAATTTAAATGATTAAAAACGCTATTTGCCTAATACTATCATGGACGAGCTTATACACTTTAAGCATTAGTAACTTTATTGGAACTGAATATTTCATGATTTTTTTTAAAACATTAACCGTGTATTAACTTTTACATTTCACTGCTACTGATTCTTTTAATGCAATCGTAGTTGTTTTACCACTATTACTAATGTTTTTTGCAGAACAGAAGAAAATAGTCGAAGCTCAAGAGTCTAGCCTAATCTAGCTTTTGAATTTGGAACTAATACAGATTTGTGTAGATAGTTCTGCTCTAAATTTAATTTTAACTTATTTCTTATAGGTAGCTGATACAATTGTACAAAACAATATATCTCAAGGTAGGTGGCGCTACTCACGTTCTCCTGACTATTATTAACGAATTTACAATAGACTAAATATATATCGAGACCCATAAAATTAAAACATACGGAAATGAATTTATATATTAGTATTACTTCTAATGAACTTCTTGGATTGATTATTGAACCTATAAAATATTGACCTAATTCATTTTAATGGTCCTCCCTTGAGCAGCTTCATACAATTCATGGCAACACTACAATCCGTGCGTAATTTAGATCGATGGTCATCGATGGTAGGTAACTGTGAATCTGCTGTGGTATTTTTGTTGCTTCTGATTTAATTTTATCGGAATCAGTTTGTGATTACAAACAGTCAGACGCACATTTATCTCTGATTGAGTGTGGTGTAGTAAAACTTTAGAATGGTAAGTGGCAAAACATTGTTATTTACTCGATTAACGTTCTGTAGCTAGTCACAAATTTTTAAGAGTTTAGCCCAATGCCTGGAAAAAAAACCGGTCTATATGATATGATTTTTTTAATTTAGACCTTAGAGTCATATGGTTATCTACTTGACTGCGAAAATTGATACAAGAATAAAAGGTTTGCACTTCGAAATTAGTTTTTAATTCTATTATGGAAAATGCAGTGGGTTGTCATAATACTAAAATTCTGGGTAGTAAATAAATTTTCATTTCCTTTGTTATTCTTTTTATCATTGATCTGCAAATTAACTAAAAAGGTAAACTACCAAAATATTCAGTAACATTATATATATTAATTCTTAATAGTCTAGATGTGAACTATAAAAGTTGAATCTTAAAATTTGATGACAAAAACAAAGTTTTGAACTAGTTTAAAATCTTAAACTAACAAAAAACACTTTACTATTATGCTATTGATTATATTAATCATAAATAAAGTATTTACAAAATGTGTAACCATTTTCAGGGTAACGAAAACTCTATTCCCATGGAACTATGTTCAAACTGTAAGTAATAAATTAAATTAATTTCTTCTATACGTTTTTTATTTCAATATGATACAATATATAATCATAGCTTAACAGTTGCATTTCTTCAACTTTATAAAGAAAATAAAATAAAATTGTAGAGATAAAAAAAGTATTAAAAATATCACAGTTTAAAAACTATAGATAATGCATGAAAATTCTAACAATGGTTAGTTTAAATGGTAATAGGGCATTTAAATAAGACATAACAGAAAGTTTGTGTTTCAGCGCGTGTTAACTGCATTGATTTTAAGGTGGAAAACTGTGAGTGTTGTAGAGTCACTCGCGTATAATATCCATCTCCATGTTAGATTGCACACGCATTATTGTTCCAGAACAATTTTTGGTGTTCGTTTCAATAATGAAATGAAAAAGAAATAGTTCAGAAAAATTATTATAATAGATGATTGTAAAATAAAATGTATTCAATAAAAATAAACTGAAATGGTTATAGAAATCGATTGCGACTAAAAAATGCCCTGAAAAACTAAAACTAAAATAATAACATAAATTGCATTCCTAAATATCTATCGTGCAATATATGTATATCTGTATCTATACCATCTGTGCTTTATATCATATATGTAAAAATACTATTGCTTTCTGCTTCTCTTCATTCTGTAAAAAAAAAATTGTTCTGGATAAATAAATATTCATGCATTCCGCTAAAGCATTCATGTCACATCTATATGTCGTGTATTTATGTGGCATAGGGTACAGAAAAGAAATTGCAAACAAACAAAGCATAGTGAAAGAGCAATATTAAAAAGTATCATTACAGGTACTATCCTTTGTTTGGGCAATTTGTACCGAATGTTAGGTGTTGCTTTGTGTGTATAGATTTATTATGGCTAAGCTGGGCAGACATTATTTTGCCCTGTCTAATGTTAAGTCGTTACCATTGTCATTACAACTTTAATAGTGCTGCCCAATTTGAGACACTGGTCATTTGAGGTCTATGTAATGAAATAATGCCTGTTCTGTTTTTAAACATTGCTTCACTACAGAAATAAGCAAATCAGAAGCATCTGACGTCTGATAGCCCAAAACACATCATAATATGACTCAAATATGCTCCATGAATTGCCTAAAAGGCTGAGATAAAATTAGCATCTTAAGTAAAGGGTGGTTTATATTTAACTGTGTGTAATTATTAGTAAAGATTAGCTTAAAATTTTAAAGGTAATATAAATACAGTGAAAACTTATTTTATTATTAAATAAATACTTTATTGGTCAAGTTTCTCAAAGCTTATAATAGCAACTGTTATTTTTGATATTTTTATTTTATTTGAATATTGAGGTTAGTTTGAGGAAAACCATTACTGCACATGTAGGAAGGAAGCCTAAATATAGTATGTATAAATTATGAAATATAATTCATTTAAATTTTGGCATTTAGAAGAGACGATTATAACAAGTGTGGGACACCCTGTATACTTTTTGGGTTTTAATTTCACTATAGGATGTTACTGGTGCATCATGAACTTCTTTCGTAAACACATGTTACATAGAAATGTTTGTTCAATAATTAATTGTTCTAACAGTATAGTTTATTAGAACAGGCGTAATAGACCACTAACCAACCCATCTAGATTGCTTGAAATTTTACATTATTGATATATGCAGTAAGGATAAAGCTAGTTCCAATTAAGGAAATAGATTCGCATAAACAAATGTTCAAGTCCATTCTTTTGGTAGTTAAATTATGCTGATTGTTCGAGGTCTTCTAGAATAGAGTTAGGGTCAATAATGATTACAACATATCGATTTTGAAATACGAGTCGATGGTCGCGCATTTGCCGACGTTTAAACAACAGAAGTTGCGTGGTGAGTCGATGTATCGATGGTCACTAGAACGAGATATATTAATTAAAAACGAATCGAATAACATCGTCGGAAACTTGGTTAACGATTAATATTCTATCGATTGTTTAAAGGTCTCGGAGTTCCCAATTGCTAGCTTGCTGCAATCATCATTATGTTTTTTTTTTGTTGAAATACAAATTAACCCCTTTTGGATACATTTTATAACTCGAATATTACAAAAATAAGGCTACCCTTGAAATACATAAAGGTGCGTTATATAAACACATGTGCAACTAACAAAAGCCTTAAAATGTATATAGTTAGAAAGACGTCATAAATAATTTAGTAACGATGAAAAATTGGATTATTAGACGAACAATTCGAAGTGGTGAACACTAGCCATAAGCTCCACAACATCAATACTGCCTCCTACCTCGAGATAAAGTATCAGTTACATTGAAATCTCATCCTATCGGCTATCCTATCCTAATCTACAAACCGGAATGGCTTTGCAGAAGACAGTTAGTATGCTCGTATCGGACAAGTCCTACACTTCTTATACGTACAAAATCGAAAGGTTAAATTTTTCATGTAGGATTATCAGATAATTTATTTGTTGTGATGTTGATGTACATATCCACATTATCATCATTTATTTAGTAGGTACATTCTCGGTACACGTATAATGAATAAGGAATGAGACAACTCTCTTCTTTTTGAATGTTGTATATGTTTCTTTGTGCTGGTTGAATTCGAATGATTTTGTTTAAGAAGTACGGGTTTATTATTTCATGTAAATCGGTAAAAGATAAAAGCGGGTAGTTAGTTGTCTTGATGTATTTGTTAAAACAGTGTTGACTAGAATGATTCAATATTGTTTGTTGATGAAGTTAAATGATGATGATATTAATTTATCCCTAATGGGAAAGGCAAAGGACTTTAGTCCATATAGCCAGGTCTTTAGTCTAGGTCTATAGTTTTAAAGGCCGAAGCCGCGTCTTCATTGTTCTTGATCGTAAGGCCGAAGCCATGTCTTGTCTTATTGTTGTCATATCTTATTATTCTCTGATGAAGTTAAATTTTTAGGAAAACTCTGCGTGTCATGTTATTACTGGGGATGGAGATGTATGCGCAGTCCTTTACGGGTAAAGTGATTGTGGCTATAGAATGTCTACTGAGTTTCTCGCCGAATCCTCCAAGTGGGTCACGATTCTGATCCGGTGGTAGATTCAGCGAAGCACTGCCCTTGCTAAGCCTTGCTAATGTTAGCAAGTCCTTCCAGGTCGAGCCTCGTGAGCTCATCGACCAAACCGGCCGTAAATAGGATAGCTTTTTAGGCTACCGTCGATTATGTAGAAAAGGACATAGAATTTGTCGTAAAATAGCTCGTAACTTCTTTGTCCCGGAACTGATTTTAATTCGTCAATTGTGTGGTTATTTTATTTATGAAACGGTAAAGACAGTCTTCAAATCATACACCAATGAAAATAGTATTTGAAAGTTGATAAGTTTTTAAGCATGGCGTTATTTTAAAGTCATTATTGCAATTAAAGGCTCACTTCCAACCACCACCACCACAAAGAGACACTATAGAAAAAAGAAAAGCCATCTCCCATTTAAATTAGTTAATTATAATACATTTATCAAGTAGCGAATTCTCTATAAAATCTCAAACTGAGATACCCGTGTGTACCTTTGATTTTCGTATATCCGTCTATTAAATAATCTATATCTTATACGATAATAGTGTCTTTTAATGTCTCAAAATAATCATCTTCATTTCATTTCACTCCATAATATCATTATTCATAAAAATATGAATGTAAATTAAAATAAGACATGACTTAAAGGTCTTAGTTACCAGGTCATAAAATCCCTTAAAAATAATGTCTTCTATCAATTCGATCAAAACAAGTGACAGAGAAAAGATAACAATCTGAGTTAATTATAACTCCCCGTATAAGCTTGTAAGACTAACGAAAAAGACTTAACTAAATAAATATAAATATTAATGACGCTATCAATGTTGACAGCTAATGCTATAGTGTATTCATGCTATTTATAGTCGATCCCAGACAAAGGTGCCTTTAATTACATGTACATAAATTGTGTCGGTCTTCATCGCATACACATATTCCGTTTTTAAATAATGTAACAAAAAAAATATTGAACCGACATTAACGGCCGTCTGGTGTAGTGGTAAGTGACATGGTCACTACACCAGAGGTCGCGGGTTCGAATCCCGCCAAGAGAGGATATTTGTATGATAAATATAAAAATGTCTTTTCCCGGGTTATGGATGTATATTAAATATATGTATGTGTATAATAAAAATATTACGTTTATTTCCGTTATCTGGTATCTGTAACACAAGTTCTTTACGAACTTACCACGGGACCAGTTAACGTGGCGTGATTGTTAGTAAATATTTATTTAGCTATTTATAAAAAATAAAAAAAATTACTTAAAAGTTTTTTGTAAATCTAATCTCGCGTTTTTACCGTCTTTATATAGCTAAATTGTCTTGCGTTTCGAAAACGGTAAAGTGCAGCCCACCTAGGAAATAGTATGATGAAAACTAGCGGACCTGATCGACGCGACGTTGTCATCACGTTAAATCTTATGAATTTATGTGTCTGTCTCTTTTTTTTTTGTCTCATTGACTTTCGAATCACGACGCTAAATAAGTTTTCACTTCGAAAAAAATCGGGTTTGAGACATATTATATTCGGAGTCGTCATGGCTCAAAGGATAAGACGTCCGTCCGGTGCATTCGTATCAAGCGATGCACCCGTGTTCGAATCCCGCAGGCGGGTATCAATTTTTCTAATGAAATACGTACTTAACAAATGTTCACGTTTTTCGTTCACCGTGGAAGTCAATCTTCCTTCTTCAATCGGGATTCGAACACCGTTGCATCGCTAGATACGAATGCACCGTCGTGTAATAAAAACCAAACCCGCAAAATTATAATTTGCGTAATTACTGGTGGTAGGACCTCTTGTGAGTCCGCACGGGTAGGTACCATCACCCCGCCTATTTCTGCCGTGAAGCAGTAATACGTTTCGATTTGAAGGGTGGGGCAGCCGTTGTAACTATACTTGAGACCTTAGAACTTATATCTCATGGTGGGTGGCGCATTTATGTTATAGATGTCTATGGGCTCCATTAACCACTCAACACCAGGTGGACTGTGAGCTCGTCCATCCATCTAAGCAATAAAAAAAAAGTTTTTGCTTCACGTATTAATATATTTTTTAGATATAGATTATAGATTGATTGAATCATTATAAAAAGGTTTACTAATATAACTTACTATATTATATACACCCTTCGCTCACCGCTAGATGCCGCAGTAGATCCGTCTCGGAAGCAACGAGAACAGGCTTGTAGATTTGAATATTTCAAAACCGAGTCGGGCGACGAGATATTACAGTTCAGAATTACTACAGCAAT